CTGTACACGAACTGATTTGATGATGATGATAATAACAATAACAATAATAATATTAATAATAATAATTATAATTGGCAGGTCAATCCCATTGAGATCACGGATCTCTTTTGTTGTGGTTTGCACTTCAGGGCCACCGTACTTTTGCAAGGAAAAATAATTACTCAAAGTAAAGATACCCAAAGAGTAAAGTATTAGTGTTTTTAACTTCGTTACTTTACAGCTCTGCCTATTTTTTGTAGCTAGTGTTTTGTCTTTGCGATTCTAAAACAGCTTTGGTAGGGCAGCTGACGTGGGACCCAAAAGTTGCATGTTCAATTCCCAGCTATGCCCACATGTCATGGTGTCCTTGAGCAAGACACAAACCCACAACTACTTCCCAGGCAGCTCAAATGCTTGTTGCTCCCCTTTGGTGTATCTTATGTGTGATAAGCACAGATTTAATCATCGTATGGAAACAAGCATTGATGGTGAAACAACACATTTTATATTCATATTTTTTTTTAAAAAAGCTGCAGCTAAAGTTGAACCTGCTGTTCGGTAACTGACTTAGGTTGTTCATCCACAACGCTGTTTAAACATCGTCCCACGGTTCAGAGCAGGTGAAAATAGAAGCTACAGTCATTAACTTTTGGGTCCAGAGCTGTAGATCCACAAGCTGCTTAATATTTAATAGCTGGTAGATAATTAGAAATGCATATCAGCTCTTTCTGAAATGAACAGGGATGATAAGATGGAGATAATGAWGACAAAATAGATTCCTTATGAATTGACTCTCTGAGCAGGATCAATAAAGTTTGACGATTGAATTAGAAAGCTTTTACTGGACTTTGTGTGGCTCTGTGGAAACAACTGAAGCCTTTTAGTTATACAACTCTCAGTGGGAAACAGGGCTTTTAGTTTTACTGCTTTGTGAGGATTTGAAAGTTAAGAAAAACAACCCCAAAATTTTATGAATCAACTAATACACTATATACAGTATATATATATATATATATATATACACAAAGATCAACATACAAAGAGTATGACAATTCACGTTTAGTCAAGTTATTTCTTTAGTTATTTTCATTTAGCCAATAACAGATAATATGATGGTTAATAGATGACAGGTACACTTCCATGTTTTTGACTCTAAATCAGTTTCTGGGTGGATTTGTTTCTGCAGTTCATTGAAGGGGAGATTGCTGGAGGAGTTCTGGCTTGCCTCATGCTCCGGTTTGTGGAGGAGTTTCAGGTTGTTAGGGGGGTTCTTGGTGTCAGGAGTGGCTGCTTTCCACCATTGTTATTGTGTTWTGGGCTTTCATGAATGCTGATAGTGAGTGTGTCACGCACAATAACACATAATCATTGTGCAGCATTAATAGCAGTAATCATCCAGTGGCCAATATTAATCAGGGACACTTTTTTGATGATTAATTGCACATGATACAATTTTGCCCAACCCTAGTTGTAACAATGCTTCTTGGCAATAAATCCATATAGTGTTGGAAAGTCTTTCTTTCCTTTATGCAATGTTTGTTGGAAAATATATATTTGTGGTTTGAGTTAAGGGTTGAGTATATGGGCTGTGCTCATTTAAGAGCCTACATTTTCTTTCCTGTGAATAACAAACGTTTTCTTATATTGATTTAAGTTTTGAGATATTGATAGCACAGGTGTTGGCAATTAGGCACCAGTAGACTTTGAGGTGTCTGATTAGCACCTGATTGTCAGCACCTGTGTGCATGCTACAACGGTCAACTGATGTCTGCTACAAGCATGCCACGTTTAACTCATCTGGATAGAGCCTGTGCTATAGGGAACTTCAAGCTGTTGATGTTCAAAACCAGTGAGCCCTACACTACCAGCTCTAAGTGGAAGACCACGTTCCATTTAACTGTGGATTTCAGAGACAGGTCACAGAATTCATAAAAACAAACTAACTCATGACCCCACATTATTTCAAGAAGTTTTTTTATGACCTTGTTTGTTATTGTTTTGACTAAATGATCCTTAGCAATAAAAAATTGTGCAACCTCTTGTTTTACAATTTTTTTTATTAAGAGACTGTGTTTTGTTTTTAGTTGAAGCAAGAAACCCTATAGAGCAGTGGTTCCCAAACTTTTTATCTTCTGACCCACAAAATATCCATGGCTTAAACTTGTGACCCCAAATATTACTGGTCTGAGTACACGAACTTCATTAATAACCCTAAAAACACAGGCTTTCTGACAATCTACACAGCTTGTACACAAATATAAATACTTATTTAT